ACTGTAACTGTCACCTTATGTATAACTGTCACCTTATGTATAACTGTAACTGTCACCTTATGTATAACTGTCACCTTATGTATAACTGTAACTGTCACCTTATGTAAAACTGTAACTGTCACCTTATGTATAACTGTAACTGTCACCTTATGTATAACTGTAACTGTCACCTTATGTAAAATTGTAACTGTCACCTTATATATAACAGTCACCTTATGTATAACTGTCTCCTTATGTATAACTGTAACTGTCACGTTATGTATAACTGTCACCTTATGTAAAACTGTAACTGTCACCTTATCTATAACTGTCACCTTATGTATAACTGTAACTGTCACCTTATGTATAACTGTCACCTTATGTAAAACTGTAACTCTCACCTTATGTATAACTGTCACCTTATGTATAACTGTAACTGTCACCTTATGTATAACTGTAACTGTCACCTTATGTATAACTGTCACCTTATGTATAACTGTCACCTTATGTATAACTGTAACTGTCACCTTATGTATAACTGTCACCTTATGTATAACTGTCACCTTATGTATAACTGTCACCTTATGTATAACTGTCACCTTATGTATAACTGTAACTGTCACCTTATGTATAACTGTAACTGTCACCTTATGTATAACTGTCACCTTATGTATAACTGTAACTGTCACCTTATGTATAACTGTATTACTGTCACGTTATGTATATCTGTAACACGACATCCGCTGTGACACACGATAAACGGACGTTACACAATATGACGTCAATGTAACGTGTGTTACTGTATTACCAACCTGTCTATTTTGAGTAGTTAAAACGCACATTAATGACACATACTCAACTAATGTGTTTCCAGCCTGTATGTATCTTCTTAACGCGTGTTTATTTGTGAATTTGGGTGGCTTTCACATACAACTTCCCACACAAGATCTCAATAAAACACTTCCTTCTAGTGTAACATATGATACACTTTCGTCTGTTTACACCTGTAATATGCAATAACAGGGGCCAAGTCTACTGGGTCGAATCCTATGGGTGCAAAATGTATAAATTACGGCAGATAGAGGCTATGATTAGTTGTATTAGTCATTAATTTAGTTTATCCAAAAGACATGTTGATTTCAACATGTGACTGACAGGTGTGACCGGAACCCGGAAGTGAGCTGAACTGAGAGAATCTGTCTTTGTCAGGTGAGTGACGTGTCGGCGTAAACTGACAAGCCAGCGAGCAGGTATTTACAATGGCGGCCGGGGGAGATGACAGATTTCATTATCAGCAAGGAACATATTGCACTGGTCGAGATAACAAGTTCATTACAAACTGTAAGCTGAAGGAATAAGATTTCGAAATTATAAAAGACTAAAAAAGTGGCAGGCTGAATTGCGAGAGATAAATCTGGCACGCTTGTTCGGTGATACTCGGATAGTGAAACTGACTATAATGTCAGTAAAACATACTGCAATAATCTAAACATAGTGACATCATTAACATACGTGAAACAACTCAAATTCGCGCTATCATGTAAGACTCGTTGTCTCATAAAAATTCCACTGTTTATCAAGGGCCACATTGCTCATTTCATATCTTGCGAGTCCAACATTGTTTCATTATGACATTGTTATTCATCATGTGCTAAATCGTTCTATTTTGAATCCGTGAAGGTCCGGGTTAGGATGAACCTTCAGTAACTCATGCTTGTCTACCCGTGAAGGTCCGGGTTAGAATGAACCTTCAGTAACCCATGCTTGTCTACCCGTGAAGGTCCGGGTTAGAATGAACCTTCAGTAACCCATGCTTGTCTACCCGTGAAGGTCCGGGTTAGAATGAACCTTCAGTAACCCATGCTTGTCTACCCGTGAAGGTCCGGGTTAGAATGAACCTTCAGTAACCCATGCTTTTTGTAAGAGGCGAATGACGGGAGCGGGTGGTCAGCTCGCTGGTTTGGTTGACACATGTCATCGGTTCCCAATTGCACAGATCGATGCTCATGCTGTTGGTCACTGGATTGTCTGGTCCAGACTCGATTATTTACAGACCATGCCATATAGCTGGAACATTGCTGAGTGCGGCGTAAAACTAAACTCACTCACTCGTTTTATTTTGATACCATTTTGTTTCAGATTTAATGTTCCATTATGATATCATCAGATATCACAGCCCCATTCTTCCTTTACAGCATCAGATTTCTTCAATTGCTACATTGTTCGATACCATTTATCACATAATCCAACACTGATCTGTTATAATGTTGACAAACTGTATGTATACCAACTTCCTTTATTATATGAGTGCGACGTTTCCATACACATTCCCGTCCCTTTGTTAAGCAGAAATGAGTAACATACAAGAACTTGTTAATATTCATAAAGTTTGTAAATATTCCATTTCCAAGCTTCTAAAGAGTCACTCAAAGAAACTGATGTGTTATGATACCGTTATCTATTAATTGTAGCACTGTTCCAATGTGGCATCATTATTAATCGCATCCTGCAGTATTCCATTATAATATGATTTGTTTATGAATTCCTGCAGTATGACGTCATAATGCCATTATTTACCATTTGTCATATTCCTACATCACGATATCATCATATATACAATACATCACTGTTCCTTTGCAAGATTATTTATATTTAATATGCATTTCTTCATTGGCTCTTTATGATATGAATAATTTCAATTGCTTCATTGTTCCGTATTTATGACGTCATTATTTATAAAAAAAATATTCCTATATGGTTTCATTATGATGTCATTATTTATCAATTACTCCATTGTTTCTTAAAAAAGGATTAATCAGTCTAGCCTTTAATCATACATATCACCAACTGCAGAAGGAGTAATCAGATAGTACTTATCAAAATTCTGTCTGGTATTAATACCATGGCATACAAACATTTGTAAAGAGGCATTTTAGCTTCACAGGTTCATTCATGAAGTCACTAAACTCCTGTATGAAACCATCACGTGTACATTCATGATAAAACGGCAGTGTTGCTGACTTGACATAAAATGTCTCGGTGTAGGTATTCAAATAAACCCACTGCCAAGCATGTTTTCCTTCATGACGGTGGCCTCTACGATAAGGCTTTGAATGGCGCCTCTCACGATCTGAATAGAAAACAAAATACAAGTGCACATTTCAGTTTTATATTTTATATTCAATGTGTGAATGCTCACAACCAGAAAACATGACGGACATGGTATTGCAGAGGTCACGCAAACTGTGTGACAAAAATAAATAATAAATAACGATCACTTATTCAAAAGCTTTCAAGATATAGGAACAAAACAATAACAAGTACTCTTTCTCCATGACCAATGATTCTGGCACTGATTACATGTCATATTAAATGTAATCTTAATAAAGTGAAACCCCTTCAATCCGGACTGTCCTGTATCCAGTGAAATCAACCGGGTTAACAAACGTTTACTGAGTCATGGGTATATAAAACAATTTTATCACTATGGACGTTCCAGCAATCATTGTCCGGATTGGCAAGGTTCCTGAAGCAAGAAGGTCCGGACTTACGAGGTTTCACAGTGCACATCTGACACGAGTTACACGCTACTTGTAGATATTTGGAAACATTCAACTACCGAGCCGGAACAGATGAAATATATTGTCAAGTAACCAACACTGGCTTGTGGAGGGCCCAACAGATTCCTCATATCTATAACTGTTGTGTTGAGAACGGTATTTCCTAAAATGATATTCATCTTGCTGTAGCAATTGGTCCGTCATAGTATTTAATACAGGGTGGATCATTTGACGCAGGATGTGATTATGAAAAGTAAACATATTTTGGGTAACACAATTTGGCTGTACTTTTCAAAGAGAAACATGTGCCTTACACGCCAACGTCTACGTCCACGTACTCTTCCACGTCAACAACCACGACCACGACCACGACCACGACCACGCTCATTCTCCAGCACACGAACCTTAAATGACCATCTCCAAACGACCCAACAATTTGCCTTCATGAACTATTGTTATATTAACAAGACATCCCATGCAGCATGTAAGATGTGCGTCTGCACACGGAGTTATATCAACAAGATTCTGATAACTGAAAACACAGACCTTAGAGTTGTCGCTCCGCATCGCACTGAATAACCGACCTCAAGTACTTCCTCCACCTACACTCCAGATACACACGCCAGAACACAGCCTGCTGTTTTTAATCTCACTCTAACGTGCAGTGCTGCTGTTGACAAAGTTCCGCTTTCAGCATGGAAATATATAGCAGGCGTATGTTCTTCCCAGTCAGTGATAAAACACATCATACACAGATAGGCATCATGCAGCTCACGTATCATGTATATTACCAAGTCTTGCTAAATAATGTCTACAAGAGTACAGGGACCCGTTTCACAAAGATATCCTAGCGCTACGACAGTCGTAAGTCTATGTTACAGGGCCTAGATTTCTCTTAGCGCTCAGTTAATGTTAATGTATGGTACTTACGACTATCTTAGCGCTATGAGAGCTTCGAAAGTCTAGGCCCCGTATCGGTGGTACGACAGTCGTAGCGCTACGATAGCTTTGTGAAACGGGGCCCTGGCTCGTCGTTCGATCTTAATAAAGCTACACTCTCTTGGGTTATTATCCAATTATATTATTTCTGGGTCTCAATTCACAAAATGTTCGTAGCGCTACGACATTCGCCTATGATAAACTATAGAGTGAAATATACTTCATTACTACAAGTACATTCTGCCTCTGAGTCGTTATGGCTTCCAAACTTAGATAAGAGGGAAGATTCATAACAAATGCAAAAGATGTCTTTTCTTGTCTTATCGTCTGACCTGAAAAAAACAACAACCCTGATTCATGAAAATACCATTTTTTGGTCACCCTATAGGATATAGATGTTATTGCACAAGAAACGAATCGCGTTCATATGTAAGTTCAAACTGTACACGAGGGTCCCATCCACAAAGCGTTCGTAACATTACGAACGCTTTGTGGATTGGGACCCTCGTGTCTAAGTTTGGAAGCCATAACGACTCAGAGGCAGAATGTACTTGTAGTAATGAAGTATATTTCACTCGATTGATATTGACTTGATTTTAGATAATATAATCGTGATATGTTATATTGGGGATGACACCTTGTCATAAAAGTACAGATTCTAGTACTTTTATTTTGTTGAGTCCCATCCGGGATTTGAACCCACTTTAGAGTCAGGCACCTAATCGCCAGCACGCAAAGTCTCATAATCGGTACGATAACATCCCGTTTTGGGGAGTTCGCACACAGTGCTACAATACGTACTAATACTTTGTTTGGTGTTAATGTCCGGTTTTGACACATTTTTGATGATATTCTGGAGACAGGGAACACAACTTCCTACAGTGTGCCGGAAATGGAACCTGTATTGTCAGGCATTGCAACTCAAGGCGTATAAAACAAACCACATTCACTCATTCCTACGCGCACTAACACCCACAATCAAACTGAACTGATATGCTCGCTCTTTCAAAATAAATAAAAGTCACCCATGTGTACATAACATAGCCTTTTGAAAGTCAAATTGACCGTCCAATTTCTCCACTAGACATTTATTGATTTCTGTGCGGTGCAGCAATAAATCGTGCATGCAAGTGAGAATAAATAACAATACCATAGAATGACCACTGAAGTAGAAAATCCAATACCAACTACACAGACATAGCAGAAAAATCGCCACTGACATAAACTATTAAATAAAGTATCATGTGCTTTGAGCAAACATTTTGAGCAACAAAAAACAACAACGCCATGACCATTAGCGAATCGTGTTAACATTGGCCTTGAAAACATTGTGTGGACTTGGTCCCTGTCCGTTATTCAACACAGAAGGTTGTTTGTTATAGAAAAAAAGTGAGTGATTTACACACACATGAAAGGTGAGTATCACACATAAACAATGCGGGGGACATATCGTATGACGTTGTTTTAATGTGGTTTAGCTGCATGGGCAATGTTGATTCAATCCAAAAATATACCATACTGATGATAGTACAATACATGGTGAGTGATTCCAATAATGCTGGTGTCATTATATCATGTTCATGACCACTGAAGTATATAGGGTAATGAGGTTGAAAAATAATGTCATAATATTCAAGTTTCATAGGTAAATATGGTTTTGCATAAGGCATTTTTATGAATCGACAACCTTTACAGATATTACTGACCCTAAGAAAATAATCAATAACCACAGATTTATGATGTAAACCAAGAAATATTATGTATGTTCCCATGATGTTGGAAGCAAAGAAATATTTTCTTATATAAATACAGATTTTTTAAAATTGACAAATTTACTATTTCTGAACTACTGTTAAACTGAAGAAATCTTACGTGTCTCTTCAATCATGGTATTACATGAAATACAAATCTAGCTATCAGTATATGCTAATGTCAAAAACACTGGTTCCCTGAGGTTAATTGCCTACACAACCTTTTGAACGATAATGGCAAAAATATGGTAACTCATTATTCTGAGCTCCTTGCGACACGTTTCTTGCTATATTACAAGTGATGTGGAGAACTGTATGTCAATCCATGTTTTTGTTTAGGTATTCGCATACCTTAAACATACCGACGCAAAGAAAGATTGCATTGGTGACCCAGATCAATCCAGTTTGGTCCTATGCTAATTTTCAAAGCAGATGGGGTGTTTCATATTAATTCAGGACCTCCCTCCTAACATACTGGAACGAAGGCAAGCATAAGCAAACCGATGGATCCTAACGTTTACATGCCTTCGAGAGCCTTTGGGACGAGTCTGCCACTTTAATTAACCTTAGCAGGGGGCCCCGTCTGGGAGTGTTTCCTTGCACTTGGCCAAGCTTAACAATGCTACATCTAACAGATGGCAGCTTTATGGAACAGGCTTGGTGCCGGACAGGGTTGTATCTCTCAAGGTCGCCTTGGTATACGATGTATTAAACTGCTCATTTATGCCGAGAAGAGGGGGTGTTGGTGTCTATCACTCAATACTGAGCCAGGAGGGGAGGAATTACAAGTATGTAGCCATGGTTCTTGTAAATCAGTGAGCTCGCAGTGGGGTTTCCTTTCCTAAACGACTTTGGGGAAGTAACATTTTACAGCTAATGGTTATCACAGCTTAAACTTGATCTTTTAGGAATACATTAGACGGTAATATGAATATATTGGATATTTGTGAAAACACATTACCTTCGCATGAAAATATGTTCCTAAAACTTAATATTTACTGGAAATCAGTATCGTTTGAATAATAACATTTCAGTTACGTCACTCACTCAACACACACACACACCCGCCCCCAAACACACACACACCCTTTGTGTGGGGTTGGGCATATAATGAAATATATCAAATTGTAAGTTATTTGACACATTTAGTACTATATTTAAACATTTGTTAAATTGAAAGCATCCTGTTTATCTTTAAGTCTATTGCACATCACGTGCAGAAACAACACCGCTGAAAGAAGCCATACACATATCTAAACTGTTTTATCTCCCTGGGAATTTTATCATCTTTCACTGGACGAAAGTGTTATTATAAGACAAATACTATAAGAAATGATGTACTTATTTACTGTTGTGTAATCGCGAGTTGTGACTGCATGTCGAGCCAGTGTACGATACCCTGCCCTGTACATACAGCTCTGCTGCCGGTGCGCGATGCACGCAACTTATCTATATATACTTATCTGTGAAACACGTTGATATATTTATGACGTACCAATAAGAAGTTAATGTTTTTAGCTCGGAACAGAGTCTGTGTACATTATGCAGCGTGTTATCTATTAATTGCGTCTCGGCTTTTATCACAGCCAATTCGCCATGAGTCCCCTGATGCGAGCTTAGGCGAGAACCGTCAATAATAATAGGAAAGGTATATTTTCAGTGTAAGCTTAAAGAAGTCGAAATTGAAATGAGTTTGTTATCGAGCCAAACCTTACAAACATATTGTGTTTGAATAATACACATTAGTAGTATGACTAAGACATTTCTCCTTACAGTTTTCCACGGTTATCAACAAAGGGTACACTATATAGTGGAAATGATAGAGTTGTACATGTGTATGTACTTTATGTCATATCATCCTTCACACACTTGTTCAATGTCCACGCCCTGCAAACTGTGTATTACTAAATGTATACATGTAGCATTTAATACCGATTTTAATAAACTAAGCTCATTTGCAATAGTTTTCAATATGGCGTATTCATCAATTCAAATTTCGACCCCGTTTGGATATCATCTCCATTATAGCAGAGAATTATGCAATATATGTCTGAATCAGATATTTGGGAAGAGCATGTCACGATTTACTGGTGCCATGTGCAGATCGAATCAGAAGTTATCTGCATATACACCAAGCTTAGTAATAAAAGCTTGGCTCGCTTGGGAAGCCGTTCTGGCAGCTTTGTTAACCCATTAACCTCTAGAGGCTAATCTACACGCCATGGCTACCATGTGGGGATGTGTCAGTCCCGTACACTTAATGCCCTTGGATATCACACTACAATAATCAGCCGTCTTTCGTATCGATCGAGCGTGGAATATGCTGAGCGGAAACAGTGTTCGTGAACTGACACCTGTTTTTACTTGATTTATATTAATTACAGGTGTGTTGTAAGACATGAAAGGAGAGAGATCCTTATTTTCAGATACTGTCATGTTACATAAGAAAATGTCACCGCTGAGGAGATGAACCTTGAGAGGCAATTGTAAAACAGTGCAGCACACACTTTTTTTCAAATTGTCATTGTAAATGTTTTCTACAGGAACCCTAAACAACGCGTGTTCATCCGAAATGATCTTCTCTAATGGCTTAATGTACAGTCAGCGAAACACCTACAGAAAGTTATCTTTTTATTTACAAAATAATTGAAGTAATTACCTTAATCTGAGGTTGGAATTGGAAAGCACCGAGAAACCTTTGCAATGGGATTGCAACATGGTACATGTAGCCCCCATAACGCTTAACACAACATTGCAAGAGCTATCGGCTTAATAACAGCACATTCTTCCTGTCTATTCCCCGATCTTCAAACAGTTTAAATATATTAAGAGAAAGTTCAAATTGGTGTTTTAAGATAATTACCACAGCGTTGAAGTGCAGACAACAGAGTCTAATCTTTAAGTGACATTAGTTCGGAGTCTGCAATAACCCATTAGAAGGCATTTATTGGGATGTAGAAGGTTTAAGATCACATTTTCTTCAGGAAATCTTAGCAGCATAGACAGCCTAAATGCAATTAATCCCATGTTACAGACAAAACATGAGAGGCGAGGTAAACAAGCAAACAGTCAGCCCAGGCGGGGGTATATCCTATTTCTACCAATACCCATTATTTCTGTTCATGTTAACACATGAGGAATTAGGCAGAGAAAATACTTTCCATAACTGCTACAACGGGAAGTGATTGAGCACCTGTCAGAGAAAATACAGAGAATGAAAAGAATTCTTTTTAGGAATATAGAGTTTAAAGGAAGAAAAACTTCATATTCTTGTATTTTACAATGTGATAATTTCACCCAGTGCGTAAATTCACACTGTAGGGTAATACGTTGTCAGGCTTATTTGGATTTTGTGAGGGAGGAATCAATGGTGGTACGGCATACATCATGGTGGTACGGTATATATATAACAATACAAAACAAATATACATATAAAATGGCCATCACAAATACAAATATCTCAGAACGTGCTTTTACCTTGATAAGCAATTATGCAAACATTTAACAAAGGGTCACAGTGCAATTTAGGGCCAAAGCTGACAAGACAAATCTCTTGATGCAGATTGTCAATAATATCACATAAATATGTAAAATGACCCAACCAACCTTTCGTTCGTAACGCTCCATATAAATACAAAATAAATATAATCACAACGTATATCTTCCTTCGTATGAAACTACAAACATTCTTGAATTTCCTCTTCTAAACAACTCACGGGCTGTCCATTCACGGCCATGACAGAGAAGGAATGAGGCCGAGGTAGGCCTTTCTTAATGTTGACAATAGGGCTACCTTGAAACCTCGTGGATGCCACTTGAAAGCTGTGGGTACGCCTCATAGGGCCCCGGATGCCGTTTTGACACTTCCGGTTTAGTTGAGAAAGCTTCTGGGTAGAGGAAGACTTCCGGGTTAATGATTTAACACTTCCTCTTCTCCTGTCTTTGTAACACGCATGTTGGAGTCTCCGTCGAACGTAACGGTAAAATGACGCCCGTAATATCTTATTTCGTAGACCATAAACGGAAGCATTGGTACATGGTGAGGCTTGGAACAAGGTTGTTGCTACTGAGACAAACGTACTTTCAGGCATATTTTGTGTTATGACAGCATACATCAGCACAACAGCGTATGGTATGTACGTAAGAACAAAGGATCCCACAAGCTGAAGAATAGTTCCCATTGCCTTTGTACCTCTCATTGATAATGAATTGGTTGTATTTGTAGGAGCAATTGGCGCTTGAATCACACTGACCATTCGGAGCATTGTCGCAGCTATTCTGCTGCTTTGTGTCCGAGCTATTTGGAATATATGAGCATAGCAATAAATCATTATACAGAATGGCACAAAAAACACTACACAGACATATACGATGGTGTACCACCTGCCTTCAGAGTGGGAAGGGTTAACAGCACAGAGCCCCATAGCAGGGTGAAAGATGAACTCGTTAGCTCCAAACAACGGCGGAAGTGAAAGGGTTAAACTTGAGACCCAGAACACTGAGAAACACGTGGACATCTTGACGAATGTGGCGGTGAGAGAGTGGTGAAGGGGGGATGCGATGGTCTGATACTTATCCCAGCTCAATGCTGTGATTGTCCACACAATTACGCACGTGAACACGGAATTAAGAAAAGCGTAGATCTGACACACAACGTCTCCGCCGGACCATTCTTTAAGGAATATAACCACAGCCGAGTACAACGTTGTCGTGAGGGATGCCGCCAGGCCGACGGCCCCGAGATGAACCAGGAGGATGTTGCGAACATTCCGGAGACGCCTGTTCGGGACAATAGCAATAATCATGAAAGCATTGAACGCCGTCCCTAGTACACACACCAACGTGAGAAAAACACCCCTGAGAATGTATAATGTGTTTGGGTACCATAAATCTTCTATGTTTCCTTTTGTTCCGTTGTCCAGTGAATATTCCGTGTGGTATTGTACTTCAGTTGCATTACGTAGCATGTCCACATTTACACCTTGATCACAGACCGAGGCACGATGTAACTGGCTCGCTAATCTCCCTCATTTTCCAGCGAGTCGTTCCTAAACAGCAGACCAAGGGAACTTCGTGTTCAATGACTGTCTATCACGACCATGTATATATAGCTGTTCCACTGAACTCCACACACGCCGGAACAGACCTTCCCTCTGTGGCAGTGGTTGTTTCTGCGAATTGCTAATACATTGTCTGCGAGTTCCATCTATCATGCCTCACTAACTCGTCTTCCTATAGTAGTAGCGTAGTGGCGCAATCCCTCTCGCCTGCCTTGGGCTGGTAACTCAACACCACGTTTTCTATTTGTAGATCCACCAGTGTTGTGAGGACGGTAGTGCCACGGGGAGACAGGTCTTTAAAACTCACCTTTTACTTGCAGCAAATCACAGTCCACGGCTTAATGTAGCGCAAACTGACCCGGGATAGGTGGCAGCACCAGGCCCTGCTCTCAGAGCCGCTTCCCGGTACTTCTTGTCAAGCTGATTGCGTGAACGGCTGCCTGAATGTTCTTCCTCACCTCGCAGGGTTAAAGTGTAAAAGATATCTCGATAGAACTTGTAAATCCGTGTGGTTGTAGGGAAGTATTTCAAAGTTGATCACACACAAGTCACCGATAAAGGATGGATAGAATCACCTCTCAGCCGATGATGCGGACACGTTTTTCCCAGAGTACACAGCTGTTTTAAACATTTATGTTAAAGGTAAACATTTGAAGGAACAGGTCGTTAAAGCTTCATTTCCCTACAACATGTGAAGCAATCGGATCTGTCTTGACGTAGATCACTCCGTCGCTACTCACAGACTTTAATGGCCATTCCGTGGGGTGTGGAATCCTCTGGGCGACCTATGGTAACTCGTGGGCGGAGACTGGACAGCACTGGCCGGGAAGTAGCCGCTGTAATGCTATTGAATCTGAACAAGGTGGCGATGGCCTAGCTGAATCTCCCACTCGTGTATAGGGCAAATCCATCAGCTGACGAGCCAGTTCTATAGTCAGACGGTTTGCTGTCATAAATACTTAGTGCGCGTTCCTGCTCCTCGGCAGTGAACGTGTACACACGCTTCGTGGATTTCACAGAAGTGTTAATTAGACGGTTTTCATGCAAACCTTCAGCGAATATGGCTTAGTCTTAATCTTGAATTCACAACAGTACACGTGTTTTTGCTCACAATTTGCTGAATTAGATATTCAAAACAAAAAGAGAATCCTATTCATCGGTCTCTGTACATTAATCCTGTTATCGATTTCAGGCGGTGCTAACTGGCCGATGCTGCTGTCACATCTAGGGACATGTTTGGTGTGAGGAGTATGTAGTCTCTTTTATATCTCCAAGTCCGGATCTGCTGAAGGGTTCAGGAAAGGTCGCCTTTACTCCTGTCAGCGACTGAACTAAACAGATATTTTATTACCTTTTTTCTAAGGTGCCTTGACGAATCGGCGGTAGATCCTTCATTTCCCTGTTTATGCACGTTAATAAATATCTTACATATATGTGATGTTTCATGCTGCCTGCTCGTAACTCTTCCTAACTTTCGTTATAGGGGAAGTCCGGTTTATTTAAGTTTTAACCAATGAGAGATATATTTAGACTTCATTGGTTACAAACTCTACGGGAAAGGAGTTGCTAATGTCCACGTTAGTGTGGTTTAGACAAGATAAGAGTACAGTGTCTGCATTATTCAAATATCTATGCTCATTTATACGGTACCTGCAGGCGTATATGACAAACCGGATTCTTATTGGAGTAAATGCTATTGGTTTGCGAGTTATAAAGCTTTGAAAGACGTCTGTTCTATCTCGGTAAACATAAATTTATCATAATAACCTATATTTCAAGAAATAAATTTAATTATTATTTAAGTTATTTATTGCAATTTTACTAAGATTATTATCTCCGGATAATTACCTATTACATGTAATAAATCTGTTCTTTGATATAACAATGTACAAGATTTCAAGAATTATAACTCCATCACGTGAAGCTGAAAACATTTCGATGATGCGTTTTATGACGTTTGATGTAATGTCAGCGATATATATTCAGCAATCAGTATTCTGTACAACCACGTCGACAATTAATATTCATGTAGATAAGGTCACAGTAACAGCACAAAACATTAACAAAGAAAATGCAGTTATATTGTCCTGAGTTTGGAGTTATGAGTTTATTCTGCCTTCCGGAGAGTAAATCCCACTATAAGTGCTCGGAAGATTGGGAAGTGAGTGGGTGAGTGAGTGAGTGAGTTATACTTTTACGCCGCTTTTAGCAATATTCCAGCAATATCACGGCGGGGAACACCAGAAATGGGTTTCACACATGTGCCGATGTGGGGAATCGAACCCGGGTCTTCAGCGTGACTGGCGAACGCTTTAACCACTGGGCTACCCCACCGCCCCTGAAGACGGGGAAGTGGGGTAATGCTTTCTCTGTGTCAATTACAGTTAACTGATATAGAGATAAGGAGAGTCAATTAGCACCTGAGTGGGGGTCGCAGATAAAGTTGAAGACATAACATTGCCACATGGTTCCTGTTCTGTGTCATATCCATCTTACTCACGGCGGTTCCAACTGTCACCCGCAATGCCAAACTCTAAATGGTTTCTTTTGGAGAATTCAGCGATGTGTGACAATCAGTATATACAGCTGCGGGATTTTGTTGACGTAGGCATCTACAGCGGACCAAAACATAAACACAAAGGCGCATCACAGATGAAGCAGTTCGCTACACCTGTAGTGTACAATCCCGTCCAGTACAAATCTGTACATTACTTACCATAAAGCCACCTTTCCCGACATTGGACAATACAGGAATTACCCATAGACGTTTCGGTATTAATGTCATATAGAATAATTTAGGAGAACGGGGGCCGTGGGGTTGTCTAGTGGTTAGGCGTTCGCTCGTCCCGGGTTCCATTCCCACCTGGGTACAATGTGTTAAGCCCCTTTCTGGTGTCCCCTGCCGTGATATTGCTGGAATATTGCTGAAAGCGGCGTAAAACTAAACTCACTCGCTCACCATGTTTCTACATAGGCAGCCATACAGAAATCTTTACAAGAAAGCCTATTTCAGGAATATCTTATCTCGTTTCCAAAGAAGAATATATTTTGTCCATTTGAATATGTTTCAATAAACATATGCACTATTGGCATTTTGCGTATAAATACACACAATAACAGAGTGAACTGACAGGTCAGTGTCAACTGCAGTGTCCATTTATGCACATGAACAAGACGAAACGAAATGCAGGTTTACTGATTATGTGATTACATCACCACATACGGTTTGGTTTCCATGAGCACAACTCCTTTGAAGTAAGCTGAATTTATTAGCAGCTACGCAATACAATATTATAGAACTTCATACACTGCCATACTAACTCTTGATATACTTCACTTGTCGGAGAGGCGATGTTTCATTATAAGCGCGTGTTCTCTTAATTACACAACGTTTAATGTACAAATAAAGTCCAGTCATTTCATCAAATATGAGACATGCCGCCGGATGAAATATCGACCAGTTCTCTTTGATGTGTGGCGGTCAGTGTAAGGCGTCCGCTGGATGACAAGGACAGGATTATGTCTGCACACCAGCTTGCAGCTCGACGGCTGACGGAGTTGACAGCGTCTCGCGATGGAGCCAAAGACGACGGTTCAACAAGCTGACCGGGAACTATTGCTCTGCAGGACACGGAAAGGTCAAAGTGGTCACCTTGACAGGCCACGTGGTAAGCTTGACCGCATCATAATCACTAATACAAACTGCTTATGAGACTAACAGTAATGAACATGTGACGGGCGCCGTATCTATTTACAGAAGTCTTGGCTTACTTCAATAATAGCAATAAGAATAATATTGATCATGAGATCAGAAGGTACCAAACCAAGGGCACCGAGAACAAAGGGGAGTCTGACGACAGCGTACTTGAGAGACAAGCGAGACATTTCATTTGCAAGGTCTGCACATTTGCAAAGTTTTTTCTGAATCTTGTCAAACAAATTACTGTCAAAAGGGACAGAAAATTCAATAAAATGAATAATTTAATTGGTTTTATCAAAAAGGGCAAGGTCAGGTCTGTTGTCTTGTGGATGCATATAGGGCATTCCAAAGGACTTTTTAATTGTGATTTGCCATGTCACCCTCCACATATGCCGGGTCGTACCATGGATGGACCTCTGAGTCAAAACCACAAGCATATCGAAGACGATTATAAAGGGACCGAGCAACACCATCATGCCGCTAAATTAAGATACCACTATGTTTCTGCCAACGCTAGGCAGCTACTGACAAGGTGTTGGATAGTCTCATTAAATTCACTACATAATCTACATATCTTAGATTTTGGCGTAAATCACACATTGAGGGAAACGAGTGGAAAGTGCCTGGTCTTAAAGGAGAATCCGAACGAAAACAAAACTTTTGATATATTGTAAAGGATATTATAAAAGTCACCTACCGTTATTAAAATCGGAGAAAAAGTTTGTAAAAAGCAATAAAAACACAAAAAACGTACTCGTATTTCCGCCTATTAGGAAACACCAGACAGTTAATGAGCAGAGGGGGTATCACGTGACATGACGTCACATGTGCCTGTTGCTGATGGCTTCCTCTTTGATTTTACCTCACAACTTAACAGTGTCCGTGGATTCTAAAGCAGTAAAAGATGTTCCTGATGTCATTTCTGAAATGGATGTTAGACCGTATCAATACGATCCGATTTTACATCTTGCAAGACAATCTTCCAGTGAAGACGAAGAAGAAGAATCAAGCAAAACGGAGGAACCGCTTGAGTTCAAAATAGATTTAAAACAATACCATAGATCATTTAACAAGAATACTATTTGACAGCAAAATATGATACAGTTCCAACCAGCAAACCCACCCCTATAAGTATATGACCAATTCCTAAGAATTATATTTTTTGCAGTGTGATTGCAGTTCCTTTTGTGTCAAATGGGTGACTGTAGGGTGTCTGGGATTTAAAAACACAATAAATATGCTTCAGATTAGGGGAAATAGAAATTATCTGCTACAAAAATTACACTGGAGTTATTTTGTAGGAATTTTTTTAGATCCTAGTTCTCATTAATAACGTAGCAAGTCTCCACACAAAACCCAGCCTGGTCGAGCAGAGATAATATTGGCGACGCAGATAAGTTATTCCCCGAAAACTGGTGAATGATTAAATACTTGTCAGGACAATGTATGTTTCCCCAGTGTTTGGTTATGGAAATAGTTATGGCACTCGGCCTTAGAATGGCATCTTGTCAGCCAATGTGAACACAGAACAACTTTTACGGCACACACTACTGACAAATAGCGAGTCTGATGCCGACGTGCGTAATTGGAAAACAATGAAAGCAACAAGTACTTCAAGATTTGCCGTTGTATTCGGCAATGTTTCGGGTAGTCTGCAGCATTTAGGGCTCTAAACCGAAAAGAACGTCATAGCGAAACATTTTCAAGCTCATGTGAAATCTCTTACTGATTTTGATATCTATCTCATGGGCACCAGTGGAACTGCCCCCGCTACAAAATGCCCTCGCAAATTTGGTCATTCATTCTAATTTCGTCAAATTTATTTAAAATGATTAAATATATGCCGTAAATGCATAGTTTTGTCAACTTTGATATTATGTTCTACATATAAAAGTTATTAATAAGTAATATTTCTGATAAATGTTCCATCAGTTAACTTATAACTATGTATATACTTTTATATAAAGAACATAATATCAAAGTTGACGAAATTATGCATTTATGGCCTATATTTAATCATTTTAAATAAATTGGGGCATTTTAACTACCCCCCTGGGGCAATTTGA